CCGCCTGCTGCAGTACGCCCCCAACCGCCGCTTCGCGGCGCACGAGGCGATGTGCCACCCGTTCTTTGACGAGCTCCGGGACCCAGCGGCGCGGCTGCCAAACGGCAAGGCGCTGCCGCCGCTGTTTGACTGGCTGCCGGGGGAGCTGGACCACCTGCCGCAGGAGATTGCGGCCAAGCTGCAGCAGAGGGCCGTCTAATGCGCCCGCGGGTGGCGTTGCCCGCGGGCACGGCCGGTGGATGCACCGCGGAAGAGCTTTTTCAGGCGGCGACGTGATGCAATCACAGGCGCAGGCCCGGGCAGAGGGGCCCGTCGCCATCTGCGGCGGGCACCTCTCAAGTGGTGCCGGCGTGCTTACGCCTTGCAAACGGCCAGGCGGGGTGGCCGCAGGGGCCTTGAGCGCGGCGCTAGGGGCCCCTTGAGGCGAATGCTGCACGTGACACGGCCGGCTCACACAGTTGTAGCCAAGGAACTCACGGGTCGGGTCCAGCCCTGTCCTGCCCCGCCCTTACGACCCGCGTTGTGCAGGCAGTGGGCGCACACCCTTTCCTTCTGCCCAGCATCGGTCCAGCACCTGTGTTTTGCTGCGAATTTTTTTCCCTCCCCTCACTTCTGAATCACGCGTTTGCATCCGACGCGCACGGGTCACCAATGAGTGTTTGGCACATTGATACAGCTGCCCGCAGCTGGCGTGACCGGGCCCCTCAAGGGACCGCTAGCTGTGTACCACCCTCACCCTCAGACGGGTTCACCTGATAGTTACGGTTGCATCACGAACGCTGTGGGGAGTGGCCGGGGCGTGCCTGGTGGGTTGGGCTGGCACAGGCGGCCGCTGCTCTGTTGGACCCTTGCATCCGTCTGCTGCACGGCGGCCCCCTTGCCCATTTTCCATGCCGTGGCGCGGGCGGCAGCCTACTAGCGCCGGGCCGTACCGCCGCTGCCGTCGACGCAGCTGCAGAGGCGCTGGCCCATTCGCCTACACATATTGCGGAGCGCCGGCCGCCCTTGCGGCTCGTCGACGTGGCAAGGACGGCTAACTCAATGCATGCGACCTCGCCGCAGCACGCTTGCTCGTGGCTGCTTCTATGAGGCAGGGGCCGGCATACCTTTTCTATATATATACGCTGCTGGACCTGAGGCTACCCACCCTTTTTGACCCGCGCCGACCGAAGATGTGCATGCATGTGTGCTTGTGCACCCGTGCACAAGTTAACCAGTGCCCCTGTAATTGCGCCTCCTGCTTACAAGGTCCCAAACGGCATGCGTGCTAGCTGGGATGTGCTTGCTGCTCACGGCCCCGTTGAGGCTGCGTCCCTGAAGCTGGTGTTTTGTCAACACAAGAGGGGGATGCTGCACACTTGACATGCTGGGCAGCCATTTGGTGCAGGGGAGGCAGCGCCACGCCAGGACCGTAGGAGGTAGACAGCACGTCAGCCCTGATGTCGTGAGCGGATCAGGCATGTGGCCTGCACACTTGCAGCTGAGCACGCCTGCTGGTGCCTGCATACGGCGCTTTGCCGATCGTACAAGGACAGTGGCGCATGTCGAGACCATTACCTGTGGGGCGCGTGCACCCTTCCAGGCAGCAGGTCAGGGGGGGGGGGAGTGAGCGTGCAGCGGGGTTTGCAGACGACCAGCAGCAGCGGACCTCATGTCAATTTGACACATTGGCTCTGACGTCCCTCTGCCCTGCCAAGCTTCCCGGCAACGTTGAGACTGATTGCAGGAAGGAGAAAACGCATTCAACACAAACATCGCCCGCCGAATGTGGCATCTGCCTCGGTGTCACAAATTTGTAGTACCAGTAACATGGTAGCCATGACAGTGCTTGTGCAAGGTTATTGCGAGTAGGTTGGCTGGACTCTCATGCAAGGGGGACGCTCAGGGTTTTGGTCAGCGCAGTCGTCATCAACATGCAGTCGATTGATCCATGGGGCAAACGCGGGGTGCGCCCTGGGAGCGTGCTCTCCCGGTATAAAAGGTGCACAGCAGAGGTGACAGGGATAAGTGGCTTGGAGGAAGCCGTCAACGGGACTGTCTCGAGTCCCGGCGCTGGAGGCTGCGAGATGAAATTCAAGCTGACAGCCCACAGATCGCCCTGGAGTGAATGGCATCGACTAAACGAGGCATGATCAAAATTCATTTTTGAATACCTAACCTGCTGCAACAGCGCACATTGTCAAATGGGGCAAACTCACAACACCACGATGTGCCTGTTGGTCGCGGCCAAGTAGCATGCCCGCGCGGGTGACACAGGATTGAACAGCACGTATAAGCGCTCTGCAATCCCAGCAGGCGTTGAACCATGGCGGAAGATGGGACGCTCCTTGCGCTCGCGCAGCGACAGCTGCAGGTCGAGCGCCAGCTGCGCACAATGGTCGAGGAGGAGGCCGCAAATGCGCAGGAGCGCTATGAACACGAGCAAGTGTATCAGCAGCATTGTCAAGACGAGGTACGGCCTATCGCATGCCTATGGGTTGTTTGCAGTGCTGCAGCAGCGGAGGCTGGTGCGCGCAAGCACGTCCACTGGGACGCCCGCCGGCCTCTTGTGTGCGCGGCGCGGCAAAGTGATGCCCCGCCCTGCCTGACTGCGACGCTCCTGGGCCTTTGCGCAGAGGGTGGCTGCGCTGGAGAAGGACATCTGCCAGGCGCACCTCGAGAACCACCAGCTGCGCCTGGAAGTTCACCGCTGGCGCAAGCAGCACGCCCTCGTCAAGCTGCGCCTGGCGGGCGCTCAGGAGGACCTCGAGCTGCAGGGCGCCCACTGCCGGCAGCTGGAGGGGCGCTGCGACACGCTGGAGGGCCAGCGCGGCGCGCTAGCGGCGCAGCTGGAGGACGCGCGGCTGCAGGCGGCTGAGGCGAAGGTGCAAATTCTTGAGCTGGCGGAGGTCAAGGCGGGGGTGCTGCAGGAGGCCAGCAAGCTCAAGGTGGGGGCAGAAAACTCACTGCTTGGTGGGGCTCAAGCATTTTTTGTTACTCAGTGAAGGCCTGATGCTGGTGTACACCTGCGAGCGCGGCGAGACGGTTTGTCGGAAAGCCCAGCAGCATCGCTGCTCTGCTGCAGCAGTCAATGATACCGCCACGACGGACGGTTTACATCCCGGACAGGAGGACCTTGGGAACGCGAGCGAAGACCAGTGCCGGCTGACGGAGCAGATGCGGCTGGCGACCATGCGCGCGACCGCGGCGTCCGAGTCGGCGCGCGCGATGGAGGAGGCCCTCGCTGGCGCCAGGCGGGAGGCGGATGCCGCGCGGGAGCAGGTGAGGCGGGGCACACGCCAGCGGTCATGTGAAGCTGTTCTGGTGTCAAGGGTAGGAGTAAGTCTTCCAGGTCTACTGGTATTGCTCAACAGGTGGATCTGGCGGCGTCTCCTGCATGCTGCATGCCCCCCTGCTCTACTTGGCCTATTGCGAGCTTCATCATTCTGCAATGATGACGCGGTGCTGGCACCTTGTTGCTCTTTTGCATCGCAGCTGGCATCGCTGCGCAGGCGCGAGATGGAGGCGTCAGCAGCGCAGGCGCGGCTCCAAATGGCGCTGGAGCAGGCCAGGGGCGAGCTCTCTAGGTGCGGCGCTTGCTCGGTGCGGCTGTTGGGTAACACATGTGCAGCACTGCGGGCCTGCATGCCAGGCCTGCCCCTGACTTGAATGATGACTGCACGAGAAGACGCGCGTTCGAGACGAGAGTTGGTCGGCATGTCTAAGACCTCCGCCGATTCCCACCGCCGCCTGGACCCACACACAGCGCGAAGCAGGAGCTGGCGGACTCTGACGCCGCGCGTGCTGCTGCCGAGGGGGAGGCCGCGGAGGCCCGCGCCATGGCGACCGGCGCAGCCGAGCGGCTGGCTCTGAAGGAGCGCGAGCTGTCCGACTGGCGGGCGCTGGAAGGCGAGAGGAAGGAGCGGCTGAGGGCCAAGGAGGAGCACCTGGAGGCGCTGATGCAGGTGGATGGGGTCAGTTGAGTGCACGGGGGCCCAGCTGGCGCAACGTGGCCGGGTGATAAGCATTCCATCATAGGCTGCAAGAACTTTCACAATCTGCATGCATCATCATACCTGGAGATTGATTGTGCACTTGATTGACAACAACGGTTGTTGCAGCTGCCGCGGCAAAACCCTTGCTGCTAATGCAGCCCCCGACCCCGCCCCGCCTGCGCCAGGAGCGCATTGCGGGCCTCAAGGACCAGGCCAGCATCAGCGAGGCGCGGCTGCTGGACCAGGTGGCTGACCTCAGGAAGCAGCTGCAGGCTGAGGGCGACGCACGGTGAGCGCCTGGACCGCCACCCTTGAGCGTTGCAGCATCATGCGTGCTGGAGATTCAAAAAACAGGAAGGGACAAGCAAGCCAGGCACTGTGGCTCCGACTCACTGCCTGGTCAATCCCCTGGTCTTGCCATGGTCAACTCAATCTCAATTGCACAGAATGCGCAAAGAGGACGCCGCCCGCCGCAGCAGCGCGGACGCCGCCGCCGCCGCGGAGCGCGCGGCGTCGCTCGAGCGCCAGCTGACCGCGCTGCAGCGCGCGGGCGCGGAGCGCGAGGCGGCGCTGGCGCAGGCGCGCGCGCAGCTGGCGCAGGCTGAGGAGAGGCTGATGGAGATGGAGGAGGAGGGGCCCAGGGCCTATGCGCAGGAGCAGGTGCGCGCGGGGCAGCTGCTGCTGCGGCGTGGGGGTGGCGTCTGCCTTCTTGCAAGAGGGTGATCACCAGCTTGATGCACACCTGCCGCGATGTTACCAAGGCTTGCCCAGCGCACTGCATGACCGAAAACCCCAAGGGCAGACATCAAAAACAACACGCCTCAGCATTCTGTCCCAAGCAGGATGCCCTCGCTACGCTTTCCCAGGCTGCCAGGGCGTTTGATGTCGTGGGGCAGCTGGTGCGGGACCTCACGCCACAGCGGCCTCCAGCACCGCGCGCGCCACATGCGCAGCATAGGCCGCGGGACGAGCTTAGCAGCGGCGATGGCGTCGATGACATCAAAGACGACGCGGGCAGCGGCAGCGACACGGATGATGACGAGGATTACGGTGCCAAGGGCAAGGGCCCAGGCGGCAACAAGCGGCGGCACGTGGCGAAGAAAGCGGCGGGCGGCCGCAAGCCGGTGCCTGGGGGCGGAAGGAAGGGGGCGGACAGAAGGCAGGGGGAGAAGGCGGGAGCGGTGGAGCGCAAGCCAGCAGCGGCGAGCAAGCAGCAAAAGAAGCCGCAGCGCTCCCAGCAGGCGACCGCGGTAGATAATGAGGAGGATGACGGAGAGCAGGCGGACAAGGGAAACGGGGAGGAAACCGACCAGGAGCAGCAGCAGGGGCCGCAGCCCAGAGCTTCGGCGGTGCAGCCTCAGGCGGCCGTCAGGCCGGTCAAGTCGGCGACGGCGACGGCGACGGCGACAGCGGCTGCCGCAGCGCCTGGGCATGAAGCATTCAAGGCCCCGGCGAACGATGGCAGCGCGCCATCAGGCTCCCTGGCGGCTGCAGGGAAGCCTGATGGTGTGGCGGCTGCCAAGGTGCGTCGGCAGGGCTTGACAGCCGAACATGCTCAGCATGCACAAACATCAATTCTGGCCGCAGCACATTGATGTTAAAAGCGTCAAAGGCGCTACGAGACTCCCCTGCGACCTTTTCACCCAGGACAACTTCCTTCGATGTCTGTTGCAGGTGATGCCCAGCGCTGCCTTGCCCAGCGTACCGGCGACCGAGGCAAGCGCGCCGTCCCAGGCGGGCAGCCAGCCCGCCTACGAGAGCCGCGCCGCCAAGAACCCCCTGGCCGCCATCCTGCAGCCCAGGTAGGGAATGTACGTCGGTGGCTGCCTGCTTGTAGGCGGAAGCTGATTTTGTGAGGGGTGGTGCCTGTGTTGCTTTGATTGCGGAATGTCATGTGAACGGCATCGGATTATCACTACTGCAGCACCACGACTTGCATTCGTCCGCGTTTTGCAGGGCCCAGGCGGCCGCCAGCCAGCGCCAAAACATGAGCGTGAGCAACCTGCTGGGCAAGCTCGGCGCTGGAGCAGGGTGAGCGGGCCGCAATGAGCGAGCGGGGCGTGGCTGGCAGCCGCAAGCCTGCCAGCCTTGCTCGATCGCATGCTGATGTCAACACCGCAGGGACAGTCGGCAGGTCTCAATGCTGCCGCCCCTCACGCTGCCTCACCCCGCAGGGCCGACAAGCCCGGCGCCCGCAAGCGCAAGGTCGCGCCGCTGCTGCCCTCTGTCAGCGACATGAGCCAGCTGCCCACTCACATGCTGGTGGGGCCCGATTTCACGGCGCCCAGGGTCAAGCGCGCCGCTGGCTGACCTGGGTGGGGGCCTGCCGGGCTCGAATGCCCGCACCTAGGCGCGGCGGGGCCGGAAGTGGTGACAGCGACGAAGACGTTTTGAATTGACACGACAGCTTGGGACGAGCTATGCATTGCCCAGTGCCTCTGCCTGGGCGCGCGCTGGGGCGACAGACCGACCGGATGATTGCACGGGGTTGGGGTTGCGTGCTGCGGGCGTCTCCCTGCCGAAATGCGCGGCATGGCTATGGGGCAGCGCTGCGCATGATGACTGTTGGCAAGGTGCGCACGCTGCAGATTGTGCGTTCATGAAGATTAGCGCACAAGCCTGCCAAATGGTTGCAGCACGGCATGTTCAGCGCAGGTTGGGGAGCAAGGGTGCCAGGTGCGCTGGGGAGGCTGTGCACGCGAGCCTGGCTGGCCGCGTTTTGCGCTTTCAGGAGTGCAACAGCACGGCCGGGTATGTGCGACCCCCTATTACCGGATATGTAAGCGTGCGACACTGCCAGCGCTTTGCGCAAGCTTTGCAGCAGGATCGAACCAGTCGGGTGGTGCGGCTCAACATATGTACCGTTCGAAACAACCCGGCATGCTGCCCCTGACAGCATAGGGACCATCATCTGGGCCAGCTTTCTTGAGTTGGTAGGCACCAGATCATACACCTGCCTCCGGGGCCCAACACTCAAACTGATTTGGTCCAAGTTGGTCAACACCCCTGACACAGCCTGAGAAGGGTTGATCCCTTCCCCCTCGCGTGTGAGATTTAGGCCCGTGATTAGAGCAGATAAAATTGTACGGGCTGGCCTCGCAGCCATGGGCCCGTGTGCAAGAGCACCGAAGGAGGAGGCTCCGCTTTTCGACGATGGCCCAACATGCCCGTACAGCATCAAGCCGTCCACATTGTTTTCTATGAACGAGGTGGGGAGGGCGTACGGGGGCTCCAGATGGACTGGGTGGGTGAGTGGTGCGACAACATGCCCTATCGCTGGCCCTTCCCCTCAGAACAAGGACGTCGACACGCTTAAGCAGTTTGGAGGTGTGTCAGGCCTGGCGAAGGCGATCTGCAGTCACGAACACACGGGTCTCGACCCAGAAGCCAGGCCAGGCGCCCCAGAGAGCGTGCAGGAGCACTCTCGCGTGTTCGGGGCCAATAAGTACAAGGAGGTGGCCTCCAAGAATTTTTTTGCGCTATGCTGGGAGAACATACAGGACCCCATCATCCTGCTGCTGATTGCGGCAGCGCTGGTGCGTCGAGTGCTCGCCACGAGCTGCTATGCGCTGCTGTTTTGAGGCACGCGGCTGGCGTCTGCGGGCGCTTCACCGCCAGGACATCTTCGAGTGGCTATCAAAATCAGTTTCAGCCGGTAGTGATGGCATGATAGGCAGCCAAGCGACGGCGGTACATGGTTGAAGCGCCCCCCGTTGCGCCACGCAGGTCTCAACAATTTTGGGCTCTGTGCTACCGGAGCAGCGGAAAGAGGGCGAATGGATCGAGGGCGTCGCCATCTGGGTCGCGGTGCTGATCGTCATTGCAGTTGGTGGGCGGCGATGCCGGGCATGAACAGCAACGCTGGGGCAGGGCGCCACACTTGGGTGCCGCCACAGGCGCTGGGCGTGCAGCTGGAAGCACATCAGTCAGCGCCAGGAAAATATAACCAGATCTTCAAGCTGAAGCTGTTGCACACAGGGGGAACCTTCTGGGCTCACGCAGCAGCGGTGTGGCGTGCATGCAGGCGCACCTCTGCCAGGCGCCGTCTGCCCAAGCCTCACACACGCGAGGTCCTCGCCCCTCGACTGTTGCTGCTGCTGCTGCCGACCCGTTCGATGCACCCCGACCCCCATGTGCAACAGGCGCCGGCAACGACTACCAAAAGGACCTCCAATTCCGGAAGCTGAATGCAGTGAAAGACATCATAGAAATCAAAGTCGTCAGGGGTGGACAAGTCACGGTGAGGGCGGCGGGCCTGGGGGCTCGGGGGGTGCAGCCACCATTTTCATGACTCATCATCCGGATGGGACGCACAAGAGCAGCGCGCGCGCGCAGCGTTCCAATGCCGCCCTTGGCTGCTGCGCGCGCCTGATGCCTGGCGTCTGCGCTCGCGCCGCCGCCGCCGCCAGATCATCCCCAACACCGACGTGGTTGTGGGTGACGTCATGATCATCGATACGGGTGACAAGATCATCGCAGACGGCATAATGGTCGACGGCCACCACCTGGTGGGCTGGGTTTGGGGGTGCACAGAAGCGCTTTGCGTGTGGGTGGGGTGTGGCAGGAGTGCATACATGCATGCATGTCTGATGTGGTGCGATGCGATTCTCGCATGATGGCCGCATGAGCACACAGATACACACACCCATGTGGTGCATGAAGAAACTTTGCATGCACACACACACACACACACGCACACACACACACACACACACCACATTCATCTCCACGTGCTCACCCCTCTGCAGGTGGTGGACGAGGCGAGCCTGACTGGGGAGAGCGACCCCATCAAGAAGTGCGTCGAGGAGGACCCCTGGTGCCGCAGCGGGACGCAGGTTTTGGGGGGGGGGGGGTGTAGGCCGCGAGGCGCGAGGGACGGGAGCAGCATCGCTTGCGACTTTGGGGACCAGCTGGGGCTCTGCCGAGCCGGCGAGGCAAGAGGCAGCATGGCCCGCAAATGCTGGCGAGGGGCATCGGCAAGGGTGATCTAGCTGTGTATCATCTTGAAGCGCAGTTTGGAGCCCTTGCCACCCGGCCCGCCGCGCCGCGCAGGTGTCGGAGGGCAGCGGGCGGCTGCTGGTGGTGGCGGTGGGCCCGCAGAGCGAGTGGGGCAAGACCATGGCGCTGGTGGGGGAGGCGGGCGACGAGGACACGCCGCTGCAAGAGAAGCTCGGGGACATGGCCTCGTCAATCGGCAAGGTGACAGGACCTGGAGTGGGGGAGGCGCAGGTGTCACAGAGGGACTGTGCACACCTGCGGCTAGGCGGCACCAGCTGGGAGCAATTCCTCTCTGCGGAAGGGGCGGCTGTCTCTCACGTTTGGTTGACGAGTTCTGAAGCCGGCTGGAGCTTCCAGAGGCTGGCAAGTGCTGAATAGGTCGGCTGTCGCACAAGAACGCAGTGCATGCGCCCCGCTGCTCGGCGGCCCGCTCAACACGTCACCAGCACCGCCCGTGTATTGGCCGCCGCAGGTCGGCCTCGGCGTCGCGGTGGCTTCTTTCATCGCCCTGCTCATCAAGTGGTTTGTCACCTGGTGCAGGTGCGGTCGCTCATCCGCCGAGGCCCCGCGAGGCCGTGCCCCTGGGCGCGTGGCCACGCCCCCGCCCTGCGCGCTGGCGCCGCCGCTCCCCCGCTCCCCTAGCAGCAGGCAACGGGAGGCAGCCCCGCGCTGTCGCCCTGCACCACACACACCGCCCGTCCCGACACACCGTCCCATGCGACCCCTCCACACAC